TGTCAGCTGGCTTAATTGCTGGAGGTGCCTTCTCTTATTAGGTAACCCCCTCAGCTCATTTGTTCCTTCCACTGAGACGCTCCTCCACAACAGCTTGTGTAAACCCTAAGATTCTTGTCCTCCCATTTCCCCTGGCCTTTTCTCTCCCTCTGCCTAATTGCCGGCTGACCAAAGCAGGCAAGCTGCTGATCGATAACTGCACTCTCACCACTGGACAACAGCGGTGATAAAGAGCTAAAAGCATGGCTCACTTTATGCTAGCTCTGGTGTTTCAGGTTCATTCTGATCACTCAAAGTCACCATTCTTCTGATTACGGCAACCTGACTTCATACATGATACACTTTTATGTGGATTAATTCACAAAAAATCTCACCAAGGCTGCGAGGGACTATAAAATGGACACAAATGCACCTTTCGATGTGACGTGACAGCCAAGATTTTGTTTTTGATTTTTGTCTGTTGAATTCTCAAAGGCTTCATCCACTTTATTACCATTTGAGACCTGTTACAAAATCAGGAGGAGCTTTTTTGCCCGTTTTGTTCAGAGCACGCAATAATGGTGGTCTAGCTACACACTTATTCATGATGGTAATTGTTTCTCTACAGATGTCAATGCTGTATGCTATTTTTAAAAGGTACAGTAGTCCCTCACTACTTTGCGATTCAACTTTCACGGACTCGCTCTTTTGTGGTTTTTCAACGTAAGATTGTACACGCCACGATTGTCGACTTTAATATTACTCACATGATTGGGATGGTACGGGATAAAAAGTTAAAGAAAAAAAAAAACTTTGGACCAGTGCTACCATTTTGTAGTTTTCTTTCAATAAGCCTACACTGTAACGCCACTCAAAATAACTATACTACCCAGAAGCCAACAGCGTTTTCGGTCACTGCTTTCTGCCAAAATGGAGGGAAAGTTTTGCAACGCAAAGTTAGAAATAATGATCTAGATATTATTAATAATAATAATAATAATAATATAATAATAATGTTACACATTGTCATCACTGTATGTTTCTATACAAATGGTGAAATTAGTCTCTGCATTTAACCTATCCACCACAAGGTGGTGCAGTGAGCAGATATTGAAAGTGCCCAGGGGGCATTTTTGGGGATGAGGTGTGCTGCCCAGAGACACCACGAGGTATGCAATGACCGGGGATTGAACCTGGGACTTTCAGCTCCTGAGCCAGCTGCCCTGCCTCTACACCATTAAGCTCACAGAACTGGCAGGAAAGTCGCAAATAATCCTGAAGCTTCCTGAAGCTCAATTATCCACGCACACATCGATCTAGACGAGGTGGTGAGCTTCGTCGCTGCAGGGTAGGTCTGCAGAACCAGAACCGAGCCCGACCAGAACTGAGCTGCTGGTCTGCAGAGCTGGTGAGTAACATTTTGCAGTACTGTACAGTACATATACCCATGTCATTAAAATTATGTAGGTTTAAGAGTTTAGAACATTGAAAGAGTGTGGGAAGGGTTTATAAAGCCTTAACATATATTTAAATACTAAAATACGTATAGCGTTCCTACTTAGCCGTTTTCACCTATCGTGGTAGTGTGTGGACTATAACCCCCGCGATAATCAAGGGACTACTGTATCTGCGATATTAAAAGAAAAAAAAAAAACTTTAGTAGGCAAATGTTTTTTTATAATCAGCAAACATCAGCTGCATGATCACTTGCTCTGTATGAATTTGCTGAATTAATATTAGAATATTATTCCACATTCCCATTATTACATTTAAACTCATTTGAAAGTCATCTGGGCAATGTCAAGGAATTTCAGGGCTGTGATGAATGTGTTGAAACCACTTATTTGACTGTCAACTGGGACTTGAAAAAAGTAATTTGTGTACTGAGAGGCTAATTTGCAGACACTTTGACCCATTCTCAAATACCTTGTGCATTAAACATAAATGAAAGTCTGGCCTATTTTTATGTTTGTGGAATGTTTCTCAGAGGTGCACACATTACATAAATACCTACTTGAGTATATTGTGGGGAATGTAGTGTTACATCAGCAGTCCTGCTACTGAACACAATACCCTTACAATGCAGCTTGATGAGGGTGGTTACATTGCAAGGTCAAGTGACCTGCTCAGACTCAGTTACTTAAAAATGTATGAAAAGGGCTAAAAGAGTGTAAGATTTTCTTTGGACAATAACCAATTCATAAAACTGCATCCCACAATAATTGTTCACAACAATGAGACTTTGGGGAATGGAAACTGAAGGGGCTTTGACTTGAACAGCTGTTTTTTAACCTAATCAGTCACTTTTCTTGGAATACTAAACCTCTGCATGATGGCTTAAATGTTGTGTAATGTGTTGCATCGTCTGGGGGCAGTGACTGCAGAAGAAATCAAGAGAACTTTTTTCTGGCGTATGCTTCTGTTCTGTGGCCCCAAACATGCCCGCTTGCTCAGGAACTACAGTTCATACAAAATTTTTCTTCCAATGTAAAAAATATATAGATACTTTACAATAAAATAAAAACCTGTGTTTCAGCCAGTAAGTTAAAACCATGTTTACCTACAAATTTAACTAAATGTTGCCCAAGGTTGAGCATAAAATGGTCACAGCTGATCGTGCTTGGAGCAACCTTGCAGTGACCTTTGTTCCAAAGATGAGAAGAATATTTAAAAAATATATTTGAAAGAAGATTTTTGATCTACAAGATCCACCCATGACCGCTGCGTCCTGCACAAAGTCCCTGTTTCAGGCTGGAACCCAAAGTCATCTGAGAACCTGCAAATTATTTAATGGAATTATTTTACGTTTGTTTTAAAAAAAAATAGTATTTTAAATACAAAATGTTTTTATTTTACATTTGTACTTTTGATACTTCAATAGGGATGAAGTGAGATCATCTTCTCTGAACAGTCATTTTATTGCAGAACACGTGGTAATAAAAAGCACTGAAACAGTAGTTCGTTTGGCACAAACGTGGGCACTTTATAAAAGTTAAAGTGATGTCATCTTTCAATGAAAGTATCAAGTATCTCCTTCACACACAGCGTCAGAAAGAAGGTCTATTGTAGCAAACTATAAATATTAAGGTTGAATTCAGCTGGATGCAACCACAAGGTCTCTTAAAATGCACCTGAATGTCTAATTAAGTGAGACAGCTCACGTCTGAGCTGATTATTTTTGTAAAGTATGGGTCAGTCCCATCACAACTCTCCAGTAGCTAGTGATAACAGGTTACTGCCACTCTTGCGCTGCAGAGATTAAACAGTTTGCCTGGCTGAGTGGCCCTTCACATCGAGGTTTGATCAAGAGCTCCTGATGGCAAGGGACTCTAAAATGACGTCTGCCTCGCGTCGTTATTGTGGAGATCTGCCGAGAGCTGAAATGAGACGGAGCCGCATGGTCACAGTGTTCCACCCAGAGTCAGCTACTCTCACCCCGGGACGCCCGCCCATACATTAAGATGAGGTTTGGAGCTCTCACAGGACCACAGTGAGGAGAGGCTGGATGAGAGGGAATGGGTTTACAGTGCAAACCACAGACCCACAGTCTGCCTCCTGTGCTGCCTTCCTGCACTTAGCTGTACTTACACAGCTGTTGGCGTGCGCATGTGTGTAATGTTTCTGTTTGGTCAGGGAGGGGGGTTAGGACTCAAGATCTTCTTATCAAACAAAACTGGTGGAGTAATTCAGGCATTATGCAAATGCTCCAAAGCCTAGAGAACTTCAAAACAGCATGACTTTCTGAGTCTCCATGCGTCAACGTGTGCATAAGCTGATTTCAAAAGTGCCAAGAATGTCAAAACAGTGCCGGGGTGGAGCGAAGCATGGCATGGCTGAGGGATGGAGAAGGTCCTAACAGATACTTCTCACAGTTTGAAGACCAGTGTTTATGTATCTGCTCAGAAGGCTCTCCACCTAAAACAAGTTTAGCTTCTAACTTAGCAGAAATCCAGTTCTAGTCTATGAAACCAATAAGTGGGAAAATTGACAAATAGGGAAGTCTGAGATTGACATCATTGTATGTTCCCATACAATGGTGAAATTGGTAGGGGTGCACCAATTGTAGTTTTCTGGCCGATCACAGATTTCTAAAAAGTCTGACCTGCTGATTCCGATTTTCTTTTATAAGCGACACTGTCAGGTGTTATAAGGTCATAATGCACCTTCAATTTTCCAATATTATTCTATTGAAAAACATATCCTTGAACAACATCCTAGAAACAATACAAACTTGTTTTAACTGGCCATGAGGTAAAAAATATGAATGAAGTTAAGACAATTGTTGCTAAAACTACAAAAACAATTTGTTTTCTCATGCAAGTATCGGCCGATTTCCGATAGATAAATTGGCCTGCTGATTTAATCGGTGCACCTCTAAAAATGTGTTCTCTGCAATTAACCTATCACACCTGACCCAGGTGGAACAGTGGGCAGCTATGCAAGTGCCCAGGGAGCAGTTAGGGATTAGGTGTCTTGCTCAGAGGCACCGTAACATGTGGGAATTGCTGGGAGTTGAAGCGCAACTTTCTGTTCCCAGTTCGGCTGTCATACCTCTACCCCATCTCAACCCCATAGATAAAGTAACAAAATAGCACACACATCACAAATAATATGATTATAAAAATGTTTGTTTCCCCCTGAAAAGAGCGGTCAACAATCTTAAGGAGAATCACTCCCACCCCCTCTCAACAAACAAGCAGGCACTTCATCATGTGGGTCAACTGCACAGTGAGATGGAAGGAGGCTCCCAGTTCCTGAGCTGGTGGAGGTGGGCACCAACAACATGAGATCACACAAAACAGCAAAGTTGGGACTTTACCTCACAAAACCCTGCATGGGTGGCCTCCACATGCAATATATATATAAAAAAACATATGTTACAGAGAAGTTTTCAGAAAGACATTAGTCCAAAAGAAGACTTCGTGATCAGTGTGAACGGGTTTTAAACAGCCTTGCGCGCAGGGTAAACACGTTTACAGACGATACCGTGGTTTATGTGGAAGAGCAAGCAGCCTTCTCACCGGTGGTCGGTTCTGAGGAAACATTGTAGCCGCCGACTTCTTGGGTGTCTCTCAACAAACTCTTCTGCTTTTGTCCTCCTTCTTCCTCTCCTCTGGGGAAGCTTCGTGGAGAAATGCGAGGCGCCGCCGCCTTCACGCAGCCATTCCGCCGGGTTTCAAGGAGAATGGCAAACGCTCGTCTCTCCTGTCGCTGCTCAAGACTCCTTTGTTCTGGGTTAGAGCTGTCTCCAAGCAGCCCGCACGCACCGCACACCCCCGCAGCACGCCGCGGCTCGACGAGCACAGAACCCGCTCCTTCCTCGACTCCTCAGCTTGGCTTCCAGAGATCTCGATGTCGCGAATTATCTCCGTCTTCTCTGTGTTTTTTTTTTTTTTTTCCGCCGTGTGTAGCAGAGAGGCGGAGGAGGAGGTGGAGGAGGAGGAGGGGGATGCGGTTAGCTTGTGGCTTCGTAGACGGACACACCACCAGCACACTCAATGCAGCCGCAGCCTCTTTTGTCTCACTCGTTGGCCTGCACTCTTTTCACACAATACTCCCCCCTGTCTCCCCCACCCACCCCCCATCCTCCATTATGGGACATCCTCTAAGTTCTGGCACTTCAAGACGCTGCTAAAATATATTAATTATTACTCGTTTTATGCTTTGTAGTGTGACTGAACGGCAAATAATAATTATTTTAAAAATTTAAAACGTCTACACGGCTCTTTTTCTTCAGATAGCTCGGGAAGAAAATCTCAACTATATTCACACGATAAGTAGATGAAAATATGCATATCCGCACGTGGGATGTTTTTTTAGTACAATAAAACGTCCAGGTTTCTTGGTAACGAGGAGGTTCTGAGGAATTGTTCGGTAATTGAATGAAATTTCCACGTGGG